TGAAATTTTAATACAAAAGGCATACTATATTAAAAATATAAAAACTGAAAACACAAAAATTTTAAACGTAAAGAAAGCATTTGGTCTTGGTTTATCATGAACAGGAACATCTGAAAAATCCCAAATAGTAATATATTGTCGGGTTTTTATGCATCCGGTATGGAACCCCAAAAGAATTGCAAATGAGATTGGCATGAGTTTTGTATTTTTATTTTGTAAGCTACTCTTGAATTTTATGCATCTATATATGTCGAGGTAAAGACAATAGAGGGAACACATTAAAATCTACAACTACTGCTTCGATAAAAAATAAAATCTACGCCGTGAAGTATGAAAATTGAAAGTAAAGATATAAAAGCTGATTTATAACAAAGAATGTAAACATATACTCCATAATAAGTTAGACAAATTTCCCATTTCTCAATTCTAGTAGTCGACTGAATAAAGCATGACTGTGTAAAGTTATATGTGTCGGCACTCAGCACATATAACCTGCATAATTCAAGTGCAAGTTTTGGATTGAAGAGCCATCATTACAAATCCCACTTTCCCTCATTGTTTTTAATGTAGAAACCATCTCTTTCCTTACTAAAAGTCTTCGTGAAAGTCTATTCAGTTATAACATGCACAAGGGATGTACTTCATGCAGCTTAAAATGCCACAGGTCTTTGTCTTAACTCTTAATCTGTATGTGTTTTTCTTCTTTACGTACTCTCAAAGGTTAACTTCATTTACTCATTTTACCTGTGACTATCAGGGAAGTTGGTAGACAAATTCCCCATTCTAACTTTCAATATAAGTGACTTTGGGGGAAAAATAATCATATAAAAAATGGCATGGAAAACCTGGACTGAAGTTTTTGTGAGAAGCATCAATGTCTATACTCATTTTTTAAAACAGAAATTGACATGGATGAACAAAAACGAAAATGACAGAACAAAAGAAAAGAGACTGCCTAGGGAAAAATTAAGCATATAAAATATTAGGATGGAAAACCAATCTATGTACTCCTTATTCTTTTAACATAAATGTACTCCTTATTCTTTTAACATAAATTGACATTGATGAACAAAAAAGAAAATGACAAAACAAAAGTAAAACAGACTGCTGCCTAAGCTAAAACAGAACAAAAAAACTGCATTTCATGAAATAGCAGTTGTTTTTTAATGAGAGCAAGAGCAACAAATTAGTACTTCGTAATACTAATATGATTATTACTCCTACCATTTTCTCTGAAGTTATAAGCTTGGCTGCTTGGGTAAAAAACTGTTGATGCAAATAATAATGTCGTGTCTTGATTTGTTCTTCATTGACTCAACTACGGAGTGTAGTTTTCTTCTTTTGTTTTTAACTGCATTTTTTCTTCTTCTATTACTTTGTTTTACCGAATTCAAAGTGTGTTTACGAAAGTGAAAAAACAATCAATGAAAATGGCTCCAAAGAAAAATTATGGGCTTATGGAAAGGCTGTTAAGCCATTAATAAGCCATAAAAATCTAGAAAATTACAAAAAAAAATGATATGATATACCAATACTCAGAGAAAGTAGAAACCAAATAGTATTGTGGATGGATCACACAAATATAGATTGGAGAAGGCAATTTGTATGTCATACGAACTTAAAATTGTCAAGAAGTAATGTTGTAAATCATCTAAACATTTTCGGACATCATATAGAAGGGCATAGAGTAAGAAGATAACCAAACATTACACTTCCTGAGATTAAACTTTTGTGGAAATCGTTTAAACATTTCATCTAGCACCACACGTGCAGTGTATACTTTGGAAATATGACTCATATTGTAGCATACTGAATTTCAACGTCATGTAAGAATGAATTTCAACATTAAAGGTGTGTGATATAAAATAAATACAATAATATAACTAAACATATGACGTAAAGTTCGGTGCTTACCACACAAATATAGAAGAGAAGACCATAAGCATAAACAACCCTTCAAAATACTCCATATAAGAACATTGAACCAACTATTCCTATTGGCGGATGAAAGGGTTTAGGCGGGGTTAAGTTTTGAGATTGGCAGAGGTAGGTGCGTCCTAGATAATCTTTAGGTTTAAGAAAATCTTTTGGTGAGTGTTGATTCCGAGAGATGTGTGATTCATTGAAACTTTGATCTGCATAATAATACGGAGAAGATAAAATCGCTGGAAAAGAGAGGGCAGTGGTCATATATATTCATCAAATCAAATGACCAAAAAGTTAAGCAACAGGCTTCATAAAGCCACGTGGCCGTAAAATGTGAAAGGAGAGAACCATGCTAAGATAGACACGTAGGTTTATTTAGGGATATAATTGTCTTTTAAAGAGGTATTTCTTTTATTATATATAAAATAGATTAAAACGAAAAGGGATAAGGGTCAGATAGGGCCTCGAACTTGAAAAAAAATGTCAAATAAGGTCATATTTAGGATGCTCTGTCCGGCCGACGCCATTTGGGGTGGTTCCCGGTGGAATTTTTTGATGAAATTTTTTGAGAATCTTATTCATTAAGTCTAGTTTACTCATATCAAATTTGAACTAAAACTTCAATCGGGAAGACATTCAAATGAATTCTTGAAGATAACTGTGCAGTTAAAAACGCAGTTATCTTCAAGAATTCATTTGAATGCCTTCCCGATTGAATTGTTAATTCGAATTTGATATGAGTAAACTAGACTTAATGAATAAGATTCTCAAAAACTTTCATAAAAAAATTCCACCGGGAACCGCCCCAAATGGCGTCAGCCGGACATAGCATCCTAAATATGGCCTTATTTGACATTTTTTTCAAGTTTGAGACCCTATCTGACCCTTATCCCAAAAGAAAATGAAAAAAATAAGTATGAGAGAAAATTGGAGGATGACCTTCTATCAAAGGTTACCTTCAATATTTTTTTACTTATTTGATTCTTTTTTTAGAGTAAATGGGTGTGTATGATGCTTTTTAAAGTGACTGTTTCGTAATAGTAGAAGGGTGTATTTGACCCTTTTTCCTAAAATAAATAAGCAACATTACAAATAAATAAGCACCTTTGGATACTCAAGTATCAATCTCTATTACTTTATAAATCGTTTTTCAACTATGTAGCACCGATACCGGTACGCGGAAACGCGGAAACGCGGAAACGGGTACGGGGATACGTCAAAACCAAAAAAAGTAGGATACGGATACGGGGCCATATTTATAAATATTAAAAGTTATGGGGGTGTATTTACAAATATTAAAAGTTATAGGGGTCTATTTATAAATATTAAAAATAGATTTTTTTTGAAAATATATATATATATATACTCCGTATATATATATATATATATATATATATATATATATATATATATATATATATATATATATATATATATATATATATACACACATACATATATATATAATGTCTACTCATTCATTGCATTGAAGCATTTTCCTTTTTAATAATACTTAGTAATAAATTCATAATATTTCTCATATACACTAGTGCATCTCGAAATATAAATGTAGTCAATAAGTCATTAATTTAAAATGAGAAATAAGTCAAGTACAATCTTGAAATTAAAAGTGCAAGTATTCAATTCGGAGTATGAGTTAATGACTTAATTCGGATATAGCTATATAGGCCCATTATTTGATTATCAAGTAAAATGTAGTTTTAGATTTTCTTTTTTTTAGAATTTTATTAAGTAAATTTTGGGATTTTTTTTTAAAAGTTGATACGGGTATCCGTCAGGATACGAGTATCGGAAACTTTCAAAAAATTACAAAAAAAAATGGAAACTTTTAAAAATTGCAGATACGGCCCGGGAACGTACGGTACGGGTATCCTAGAGTATCGGATACGGGAACGTATCGGATACGCCGATACGCTACCCTAGCGAAGTATCCGTGCTTCATAGTTTTTCAAACACCATCAACTTTATTATTAAAGACTTTTCATATAATATCGAAAATAAATCACTTTTGAAGGAAACATAAACACTCATATACAGCTTTTATAATAATTATAGAATACTTTAGCAAAAGGTTTGGTAATGTCACGATAAAAGGGATTTTTTATTCAAATGCATTGGGATTAATACATCCCACTGAACATACATTCTTAATAGTTATGTGTATGTTTCTGATATCACTCTTAATATAAGGCTAAAGTGAGATGCATGCTTCGTAGCTATCAGTTCGACATTGCTACCTCACCCCATTCATCCATGTGTTTTATTATATCAAACAAATCATAAAAAAGCCAACTAAAAATCCATTAAGAGCGCTATGAATACGTTGGGAATATAAAGAGATTATGCCCGCGCGCGTGCAGACACACACAGATATATATTAAATAACAATTATATTGCTATGATAAGTCACCACCATTAAGAGTGGCAGCTTCTCACATGTTTCATTTACAAAGACAACGGGATTCAATTTTAATTGTTAAATCATTTCTGAAAAATAGGCTAAAAAGCGATACCTGAAAATGTTTACCCAAATAAAAGTCACTTGACTCATCCTTTTGGGAACAACTTATGGCCTATTTGGAAACATCTTATGGCCTATTAGGAAACATCTTCCTTCGAAGTCTATGACTTCGTCGAAATACCTATGGACAACTAATAATGAGGAAGCTGAACTATATTCTCACTTTTGAAACGAATAGATTTATCCTTGCTGAAAATAATGAAAAGAAGGAACTATACAGCATATAGGAAAGGGTGATGAAAAGGAAATACTTGAAAGGAGACATCAATATCATTTTTTATTTTTTGAAGTTAAAATAACGATCCCAAAGTATCTTTCACTTACACATGAACATGATATTAAAATGAAAAGTACCCCTGTCACTAACACTTGAGCCATTTTTTTAAAATAATGACATGCTAGCAGAAAGATCATAAAAAGTTTCAAGTCCATGCATGTTAAAGTTTCAATTTAGGTTGCCTTATTACAAAAGTAGAAAGAAAAAAGTAGATAAATTGATGGAAATAACATTTAGTGATAAGGAAGACTATACCATTTGCATCATAAAGAACACCAGCTCCAATGAGATATTTTATACACTACAACTGCCAGAACATTTCTTGTAAGAAAAGTATCACCACCTGGATATGAAATTAACATCTATTTCTGTTGTAGACCTGCAAGCCATTTTAATAACATTTATAATAATTGGTCTAAGTGTCCAGAAGATAGAAAAGAACTTTATATTAGTATATAAAAAAGGCTTTTATTAACTAACAGCATGTATTACATGCTATGAGTGCAGAAAGAATGAAGATTATCAGTTTTTTTAACTAAATATAGTTAGTGTTATTATTGGATACTTTTTAAAATAGCACTTTACAAAGCCCTGCCATGTGGACTTTAAATATTAGTAGCACTTTATAAACTATTAGGTCATAGGGAAGCTAATACGGAGTATGATATAAGCAATCCTGCATATATTATTACCCTAAGCCAAAACAAAGAAGGGTGGGTGGCTACATCATATTTTTTGTATTATTCATGTTTTTTTAGCCAAATAATATAAATATTACGATAGTACATTAATATAGACTGGTTTTACTTTACCTGTGAGAGTGAGTCTTGCTGTGAAGCGGCCTTAAATTATACTACCTCCGTCCCGACTTAAACTTCTCACTGATGGGTTTATTGTGTACGTCCATTTTCAGCTGCTACTCCAAATGAATTACCAAATTAAAGTCTCTGTCTTATTGCTCTACTCAAAGTATATGCTGAAATTAGTTCCAGAATTGTATTTAAAATTAAACTGTAACAACTCAAAGATGGTAATATGTGAGAATCGTCATATGAATACACATAGAACTAAGATTAGACGCAAGTCATTCATGAATGAAAGCAACAGAGCAACAAATTAGTATGTCATAATATGAAAGCAATCGAGCAACAAATTAGTACTTCATGATACTGTGGACACCATGTACACTAATCACTACGGACTCCAGCAAAGTAGTATTACATAGAAAGCCAAATTAGTGGTTCATAATTTAATTGGTGTATAAGACTGCTTGTATCATGCTTTTGTTGCCTAAACATTTCATCGAACACTTTATATGCTTTAACTTATATGATTTGGTGCACCTAAAAGTCATGTTAAAACAGAGAAATATATCCATCAACAAATACTCAAGACCTCTCAGATTATCATTTCTAGATGAATACAACAGGAGTATGGTTGAACTTTTAATAAAGCTTATACTCTATACAAATTCATATGGTTTTTGTGAAGAGATTTGTGTTTCTCTTGATTCAATTGCAGGCGTAAAAATAATATAAAAGGCTTTCAAAGATGATGGAAAGAGCGGAAGAGGCAGCTTACTTGTTTTATTAGAGTGGCAATAGAAAAAAGCCCTACTTCTGTTACAAGTTTGCAACTGCGCAGTACATTCAAGGATGAAGTGGGAGTAGATGAGAAACGTGTTGTACATGGCAATCTCTTGCGATATCTAGATGAGAAACGTGTTGTACATGGCAATCTCTTGCGATATCTCTCAATGCAAGCCAATTGGTTCAGAATTTTTGGGAGAAGAAAGAGCTCAGGCTTTCTGAAATTTTGACGCAGGAAGGAGTCTGGTTTCTTTTCTTTTCTCTGAAAAAAAAAAAACAGGAAGACGCCACGTGGATGCACCAAAGAGTAACCGTGAATTGAGGTGAGCAAGACACGTTGGATTCAAGGGTATAATTGTACTTTAAAGAGCCTATTCTTTTCTTATGTATTAAAATACATATTATGAATTTAAGTATTATTTGGGGGGCTAATATGGTCATATATTGGGAAAGTGAATGAGTTTAAGTCATATATAGAATAATTATCTTATGTTTTTAATTAGATTGATTTTAGTCCCAGATCAAACTTAAATAGACCAAGTCAGACCAGACCTAACCAAATTTCCATAGTTATAAAATACGGAATATAAAGATACCAGACATTTATCATATTAGCTCAGACTAGATCAAACCAGACTAGACTTAAACAGATCAGACTAGCTCGAGTAAAAACATCCTACATGTTTTCGAAACTGAAATAAATAATAAGTAAATAATACGATCTAATGCCTATGTTATCAGACCTGAACCGGCCCAGGCGGGTTGACCCGGAAACCGGCAACCCACTTGGAATTCCGGGCTGGTTAGGCCCAAACACACAATTCACTAAAACTCGCTTAAACCCGAAAACTTGCTCGAACCCCGCTTAAAACTCGCTTGAAACCCGGTCTATTGGAATTATATAAAAAAATCGTGTTGTGTGAGATTCAATCACTGGTGTGGCCGAAATTCCCCACATTCTAATCCACACGCACTGCATTACCCGGAAGCGTATATCTTACGGCTGCCACCGTACAGCCAGTGGCAATTTTGTAATATTGATAAATTTTGTAATATTGATGAAAAACACGGTTTCTCTTAAATAAGCATTTAGGCCACTCTGGTGAGCATCAAGTTTGTTATTTTAAGTATTAGAAGTCTAACAACGAGCACCAGTGATATCTGATTCATATCTTCAAATTCAGTTTCTTTTTATTATTTTTTCGTTTGTAACAAATTCTTAAATTATGTTTATAATCAATTTCAATTAATTTCAATATGTGAATCTTATGTAGTACGATACGTTTAAAATGTAAAACATTTTAAAATGAGCATAGAGCAGTACCAAATGAGCATACACGACTTATAAAATGAGTATCAAAAAATTCGAAAGCTCATTTCTGTATACTCATTTATGTTGGGCGTTATACTCATTTGAGTTTAACATAACACTCATTTCTAAAAACTCATTTGTGCAACCTTTTAAAATGAGCATAAAGTGATTCTAAATGAGCATACATAACTTACAAAATGAGTATGGAAAAATTCAAAGGCTCATTTATGTATGCTCATTCATTTTTGGCTTGACACTCATTTAAGTTTAACATAAAAACTCATTTCTTATGTGTTCAATATTCATCTGTGTATATTCATTCTTTTTAGACATTATACTCATTTGACTTTAATATTACTCATTTTGATACAATATGACAGATCCACAAAAGTTTTCAACTCTTTTCCCTTCTTCTTTCTATAATCCAGCGCAGAAACAGGGGTGGGAAGAATCTGAATCTCAGATCAAAAGTGAAGCCGTGTTTCGTTGCGCCAATCGATCGGAGTATGTGGTGGCTTGGGCTGCTTCGCGAGTTGGCGACCTAGACAGTCGATGTTCCGTCTTCATCGATGTCCATCGTCGTCCTCACAGATGAGTTGCAGCGCAGATTATTTACAAAAAACCTCGGCTATACCGTGCGCACGGTACAGCCGGCTGTACGAGGGATTTTACGGCACTACCCAACCAGTTTGTAATGTTTGTTCCTTAGTTGGTCTTATTTGCCTATTTGGTGATGCTTCAATATACGGGGTATTTAAACTAGCACTCTCATAGATTAATATTAAAAAAGCAATCACATTATACATGCTTTTCTTATTAATATATTTCATATGTAGGTAAAGTTGTAAACAAATCGAATAATTTTGATTCGATTCGCGATTCGAATTCGAAAATGTAGATTCAAATTCGAGTGAGTAAAATACGAATACGAATCCAAATCTCTTTTTTTATTCGAATAGTTTTGGAATACGGATATTCAATTTGAACAATATTCAAATATATTCGAATACATATTCATGCATTATATATTACTCCTTATAAATAAATGACGAGGTCTTTGTCGTGATGTGTGTCAAAATAATAAATACAATACAACACTAATACGTAGTATAGCGTAGTAAGGTTCGTATCCACAGGTAAAGGAACACTTCTCTTTTTAATAAAATAGTAACAAGGGGGGTTTTAGGTTGTAGAACTTAAAGAGTATTTAAACACCAAGTTGAATGACTTATGTGGTTTAATTAATAGAGATGAGGAGACTTGGTTTTGCTTTTATCCACTTAATGAAATATTCGTCGATCCTGTTATATCTACTTCCTTACTAATAAAGTAGAACCTTCAAATTGAAATTGATTTGTCAACTATTTCCTATTAAGTACAATTTAATATTGCTATTGAGTACAAGTGTACAACTGATTTGGAGGGTGTAATTACAAAAGTTTATTATTACTATTGAGTACATCTTATAGATTCTAAATTCACGTGTTTTCATTCCATGTATTTTGCATTTTTACCCATTAAATTAATGAGATAATTAAAGCACCTACATAAGAAAGGAAAGCAATTAAATACTGAGTAATTTACTTCAAATACAATTAAAAACTCCCTCCGTCTCCTTTTAAATGTCCCGGAAGAGGGTGGCACAAGTTTTAAGAAAAGTGGGTTTGTGTGGTTGATATTAATTGATAAAGTAAGAATAAAGTAAGAATGATTTTGAACCACACAAACTTTACCAAATAAGGTATGAGACAATTAAATAGGGACATCCCAATATGGTAAAACGGGACATTTAAAAAGTTTGTGTACAAATTTGTACGTCAAAAACTTACCAAAATGACCATAAACAATCCTGAAAACGACGGCTTGAAGTACGTCGTAGTCACTATCAACGGTCCATTATGACAAATCAAAATGTACAAATTTTGTACCAAATAAATTGCACTAGAAATATAAAATGCAATGAGGTAATTTTCTTTTACCTTAAAAGGATATTTAAATCCTACCAGTACAAATTTATTTGATACAAAAAGGCTATATATAGTCACAAACTTACTAAGTTCTAATTAGAACACGGTATATACTATATACAATGTCTATAAAATGTCAAAGGTAAACGTCAAGCCTTTGTAAGTGAGAAGAAGAAGGAAGATTCTCAAAGTAATGAGGAAAGCAGTTCGAGCGATGAGAGCTCTTCATCTGAAAGCTCAGAAGAAGCACTACTCTGCCTGGGAACATGGCAGGATACTGAGAAGGTTAGCAGCTGGGCAGGAATTCAGATGATACTGATGAAGAAGAATGCTCACTCAGATGTTTCATGGCAGATGACCACTTCAATGATGTAGATGTAACGTCTTATTCTTCCTATAGCTCAAGTGATTCTGGACCATCAAACATCACACTGGAATCTTTGCTTCAAGATTTCCAAAAGGTCCAAAATCATCATGTTCTCTTAAGATCTGAAAATGAAATACTAAAACAAGATACTAAGATCATTCATGCTAAACTCTTAGATGTCTTAACTAGGAACAAAGTCTTAAAAGAAGAGAACAATGAGCTGAAAAAACAAGTGAATAATCTTCGCAAGGATAGTAAAAATGTTAACCCTACTGCTGAGATTATTCCTAATAGGAAGAAAAGAGGTCTTGGTTACAAATCCCCCACCAGACACACAAAAGACTCCCCATCCACAAGCTACAAAATTAAGAACACAAAAACTTCAAGTCACCAACTCTCCCATTTCCAAAATGTTCCCACAAGAAGGAACCAGCCTGCTCCCAAGTCAATATCCAAACCCCTGTACAAACACAACTTTTCAAACACCCCACAAAACCAAAGAACCAATTGGCAACCCACTTATGAGACCAACTATGAACCAAAGAAGCAGCAAACTCCGCCAATTAGGAACCATCCTTCTCTTACACTCAGGAGAAAGAAAATAAACACATACACAGTCATTCCCTATGACTACAACACCCCTGATGGAGTATATGATCCAGCACCCCCTGGCCCACATACTCATGCAATCTACACATTCAGTGGAAGCCCTCGGCAGCACCTTGGCGGTACCCCTCGGCCATGATGCCCTCGGCACCCCTCGACCATGATGCCCTCGGCACCCCTCGACCATGATGCTCTCAGTAGTACCCCTCGGCACCCCTCGGCCATGATGCCCTCGGCAGTACCCTTCGGCACCCCTCGGCCATGATGTCCTCTACACCTCGGCCACGACGCCCTCGGCACCCCTTGGCTATGATGTTCTCGGTACCCCTCTACTATGATGCACTCGGTAGTACCCTCGGCACCCCTCGGCTATGATGTCATCGGTACCCTTCGGCTATGCCATGCCCCCGGCCATACATGAAGCCTTCGGCCATACATGAAGCCCTCGGCCATACATGAAGCCTTCGGCCAGACATGAAGCCTTCGGCCATACATGAAGCCTTCGGCCATACATGAAGCCTTCGGCCATACATGGAGCCCTCGGCCATACATGAAGCCCTCGGCCATACATGAAGCCTTAGGCCATACATGAAGCCCTCAGCCATACATGAAGCCCTCGGCCATACATGAAGCCCTCGGCCATACATGAAGCCCTCGGCCATACATGAAGCCTTCGGCCATACATGGAGCCCTCGGCCATACATGAAGCCCTCGGCCATACATGAATCCTTCGGTCATACATGAAGCCTTCGGCCATACATAAAGCCCTCGGCCATACATGAAGCCTTCGGCCATATGATCCAGGTCGAAGGGTCTACGCTCTACGAAGCTTCCTCTGAAGACAAGCAACCACCGCATTCAATGTGGCGTCACATCCACCCACCGCATTTAATGTGGTGCACATGCGAGTGCCAGTTCCACCCCGATTGAGGTGACCCCTCGGTCGTCAGATTGTTGACAGTGTACTCTCATCGCATTTATGGCTACTATAAATAGCAGCCCTTATTCATCTTGTAAAGGAT